GGGATGGGCAGCAGTCGAGGGAGTCAGGAGATGGCAGCGGAATTGGGGGGGGGGGGAAAGAGGGGTTGGGATTGTAGTTGGGACGGAGGGGACTGGAGGGGAAGGAGGCGCTGACGTGGTGGGAGTCGGCCGTCCACGAGTCACTGGTCCTTCCACCGGTACGGGAACCCTGTTACGACTTCTCCTTCGTCTAGATGATGAGGTTCAATGAACTTCTCACGCGGCCAGCTGCACCGCGGTTCAGACACTTGGATGGCGGAGCGGTAGTGGATCGGCCTGTAGGAGAACTGCAGCGGCTGGAGTCACGCCGGCGTCGAGGTTACCAAGGAGAAAGGCGCCAGCTTGGATGCCGGATGTATCCGGTTGCCTTGATAGACCAGGTGCAAATGCAGGGATGTGAATGGCTATTCCGCAATGGTGGGATAGAGAGAGGGGGAGGGAGGGAGGGAGCAGAGGTTCGAAACCCGCTCCAATACCAATGTGACGCACGTGCAGAGGGCACGTGCGGAGATGGTGAGAGAGGGAGAGAGAGAGGAGATGGACACACACGAAGCAGCAGCCGAGTGAAAGTCCAGTCCGGCTCCACGAAAGAACGAACAACCGAATGACTGAGCCTCCCGCCCTGGGCCTAGGCCGAAGTGATATACCGGCGTAGGTCCAGGTACGGAACAAACTGGTACTGGACCAGGGTCAGGCCGATGGCCTGAAACTGGTCCGGCCTCACTGCCGGGCCGTAGGGGTACCGCTACAGTACCGGAGGCCGAGCAGAAGAAGACAAAAGTGGCATTTTTAGAGGCCCGGTAGTTGTAGGCTAGGTCTAGGCGAGTACCAGTCTGAGTCTAGGGCCTGTACGGGCAATATCAGAGTCTGCAATGATGTTTCCCTCCGAAAGGGAGGACGTACCTGTTGCTTGGGAGGCCGAGTGGCCTGTAAGTCACTGCCCCAGAGGCAAGCAGGCCACTATATCTCCAGGCTGGGCGAAGAGCCCAGCCTCATTGTCGGTGTGCAAGTTTGGCCACACACTGGTTGGAGAGCTGGCTGGAGCAGCGCTAGCTTGGAGCAGCGCTGCTGGGGAAGAAGCAAGGACTTGGAGGAGGAAGAAGGACAGGAAGGGGGAGGAGCGCCAGAGGTTCTTACCTGACTAGTGGCAGCCATCTTCATCACCTCGCTGGGCGCTGCAGCAGGGAGACCCCAGCTGTGCAAAGGACAACGCAGAGCAGCCATAGCTGCTTTATGTTGTCCTTTGCACAGCAGGGCAAGGCCCAAGTAGTCCGCCATAGCCTCGGCCTATGAGAGTGAAGACTGAGGGAGGCGGCCATGGCTATGGTGAACCTCAAGTGATACCTGCAGGAGAAGAGGGATTCGGACATTGATTCTGGTTCAGCCATTCAACATTGTACTATTATTTCTTGTGTGAATAAGAGAGGAGGAGATAAGGAGGAAGAGAGTGTTGGGCGAAGCAGAAGAGCTTTGTCATTTGTCTATGCTGGTGTACATCATCTTCTTCTTCTTTCTTACTTCTTCTTCTTCTTCTTCTTCTAACCTTCTCTGTCCTCTCAAGTTCATTGATTTCTTTCTGCAATTGGACGGCATTGTACCATCTGATGAAAGTATATCTCGAAATTGGCCAGGATCATAACAAATGATAAGTTGATAACTTACGTTGACAATCACTTGCCATGTGCAAATATCTGCTGTGGAAGAAACGGTGCCGAAGGAGGACCAGGGGAGAGGAGAAGGATGACAGTGGAGCAACAGGAGGAGGAGGGGGCGGGGGCGGGGAAGGAGGGGGGGAGGCAGGCGGAGGGGGAAAGGATGGGAGAGGAGGAGGAGGGTAGGGGGGAGGAGGAGGAGAAGGAGACGAAGGTCATGCAGCACGAGGAGGAGGAGGAGGAGGAGGAGGAGGAGGAGGAGGGAGAGGAGGAAGGGGAGGAAGGGGAGGAAGGGGAGGAAGAGGAAAAAGGGAATCCTGAAAAAAGTCGCACCTGCAGTATGCGGCACTTGGCCTCTGGCATGAGCAAAAATGGAGTCTGCCCAAAGCAACCAATACGGAAACACATTGTCAAACAAATACGAGAAGTGAGAGAAGAACAAGAGGTCGTTTGGCAGAAGACCAAAAAAAATGACAAACGAAAGAACAGCAGTCTACAGATTCATTAAACAATTAGGCATCGTTTGTTGTTACTTTTTCCCTTCGCCAAGCAACAAAGGGTTGTCCCCAGGAAAAAAAAAAAAAAAAAACTCACTAAAGACTAGTAAAGAGTGTTTCTTGCTTACCTCGCTTCTAGGGGGTGCAGAAAGGGAGGAGAAAACAGTGGAGATTGAGACATGGGGAAGGAAGGATGCAGGCACTCTTTTGAACACCTGGAAAACACGTGTAAGTCTGATAGTCAAATTTGGATACACACTCGAAAAATGACTACTATGGCACCAAATGTAGATACGCACTCAAAGACATCAGAGTCTGAAAGTCAACAGCGCACACACACAAGAGAAGAACTGTTTATGACTGGACAAACTCAGGTAGAGGTGGCATGTCGTGGGGTTCCAAATGAGGTGGTCATAAGCATATTCACCTGGCAGAAAGAAACAAACCCATCACGTTCTCCCCTCGCCAAATAGTGTCGCCATTTCCTGAACTCGGCCTGAAACACAAGGTCAGAAACCAATCAGGTCAAATGGAATTTTAAGGAAATAGTCATTCAAGAGGAAAACCTTGTTCCAACAACAACAACATCATGCAAAAAGCCCCACCTGTGAAAATTACAATTTGGAAGAGTGATGTTAAACCACTAGTACTTGGCCCAGCTATCGGCTAACGGGCCGCGCCTTTAGGCCTTCGGGGTACCGGACCACAATGGCTGGAAGCGCCAGCCAAAAAAAAATTGAAACGGTACCCCGGCGCTTCGGCAAAAATCGGCGCGCACTGGCATTCCAGGATCGGCATCGATAGCTGGGCCAAGTACTGGTGGTTTAATTTGTAGCGAAAGTAAATAGATTAGGAGTAGTTGAAGTAAATACGATAGTGACGAGGGTGGGCTAGTGCACAAGTCATACATTGTCAGAGAGTTCACCACTGTCCAGAAAGGAGAAGCTTCCATGAAGAGATATGAAATTGGATTGGAATGGAAGGGTCGGAAGAGGGAAAGGGAGGGAAAGAGCAGGGCAGGGCAGCGCAATGAAGCAAAGGGGGGAGAGAGAGAGAGAGAGAGAGAGAGAGAGAGAGAGAGAGAGAGAGAGAGAGAGAGAGAG